TGTAGTAGTATATATATATATATATATATATATATATATATATATATATAAATCTTGAAACTTGTAAATATTATAATAACGTATATACATTGTGTGCTTCCGCGCGATGTACATAAAAATATTAATGAATCGTGCGATTTGATTGGGAAACTTTTATCTCGATGTTTTATAATATTATCTCTATTAGGAACGGAACTATCGTACAGTGAGAATAAGTAAAGCATAAAAAAATTTGAAGAATATTAAAAAAATCAAAGATACATCGGTTTTTATGCTCGATTGTATATCGTTGCATCTACGTGTAAATAAAAATATAAGTATTGTAATTTAATTTACTCAAAACAGAATATATATTAATTCTATTTGTTAGCTGATATTATCATGCCAAAACCGATTTACTGCAGAAAATTGATAATAATTTAAACTCGTTTAAGATCATTTTCATCTTTTTGCAATGATGGAACCAAATAAAAAATACTACCACTAGCAGAATATTATTGTACTTTAGCACAATGAAAATATCCAACACAAGTCACTATAATAATCCTTTATGAATGAGCATGAAAGTTATTATAATTAAGTACTATTATCTAACTCTCTGTAGAGAAGTTAAATCCCACATATGAAATATATTCTGACAATATTTTAGAAGAAATATAATATCTAAACAGTTAGGAAAATCTGTAAATAGATTCTAGTTAGTGAATGTTTACAAATCATTTATTTCTTTATCAACCGCCTCTATTTTTATCTCTCAATACTTTATCTGCTGGCAGTGTTTTATCGTTTATATTACGTTTTATCATGAAGTATTGGTGAATTTAGAGATACTGTTCATCATTTATATTCGAACATGTTTATTTTTAGAAGCAATCAAGCATTCATGATTAAATTTACGATTTGATATAATTGTATATAGAATATTATAGATTTAGAATTATTATCCGTTATTTATAAGATCGATATAGTCGATAAAATCGAATGAATTTTTTAAGAAAGATAAAAGTGCGTCTTTAATTTATACTTCTCGTTGTATAATAAGATCGATTTGGAATCCATTATAATAACATCAATGTTTATCGATCAGATTTAAAATCTATTATAACAATATTAGCATTCACTGAACAGATTAATTTTGTAACTTGTTTTGTATACTACGTAAATTGCAAACTCTTTGTGATAACTAATATGTCATTTGTGTGGAATTTACATCTGATTTAACTAGTTTTTATTTCATATTCTCTGTCGTTAATTTGAACAATCAAATAAAGATGAGCATTTGCAAGTCATGCTCATTATATGTTGCAATTATAATGGACGCTAATAGGTGCCAGTTGAGCAATTGCGAAATTTGTGTACAATTATAAGTCTGATCAAGCTTTAGAAATAGACAGCCAAATGTTTTTCAATGAATATCCTACAAAAAGCGATTGAATTGATATGTAAACTATAATGCTCATTTTTTAAATTTTTTACGAAAAATAAATTACAAATAATATAAATTATTTGAATTGTGACATTGTATTAGTCGCATTTTGCAAATTTATTTATATTATGTAACTAACAAATAGTTTTATAAAAAAAAAGACGTCAATATTAAAAAATGCTGTACTATAGTAGATAAAAGAAAAAAGTAAACTGTTCGTTAATGCCGTAAAAAACACAGTATAAGCGTTTGTATATATTATGTGTATTTATTGATTTGTATCAAGCAGTAGTTTTAAGTTTTGATAACTATTACGTTCACATATGTATGCCCATATTTCTAATATATACATATTATATGGATAACAATTAATATAATGTAGTATATATTAGAAAATACTGACAATAAATGTATTTATAAAAATATATCAAGTAGTTTGTTATTCTTATATTCATTTATTAGAAGAGTTTAGTTTTATTCTGTTAGTTTAGTTCTTATTCTGTTTTGTTAAATCTTTTCATGACAATAAAATTAAATGTAAAATCCACACGTAACAAAATAATATTTTATAAAAGTATCATTTTTTCTCTTCAAAAAAATTTCTTTCTCAGATAAATGTTATCCTTTTTTATGCAAAAAATTAAAATGACGATTGTATTGCATTATATAAATTAAGATATTTGTTAGAATGTAGTACATAAATCAACAAAAAAACTGACTATAATTTAATCATGTAATAGTTATTTCTTTTTTTTATTTAGTACCGCATTTAAAAAAGCAGAATTAAAGTTGAATCATAAAGATTTGCCATTGCTAATAGATTTAATAATAGTATTAGTATTGACAAAAGCAGGTGGAACGCTGATACGCTTCAGATTAGATTAATCCGATTAACCCACATAGAATGCTTATCCGGGGAACGTTCAAAACACATCTCGAAAATATCGTATCTCTCAACAATATCTTCGAGATGTCTTCTAGATATGTGTGCTGTGTGGGAACGCTTTGGAAGAGCAGGAATGCAGCACTAAATGAGACTCATTAAGCCATCATTAAATAAATTTTAGTCATTTTCTTTATCGATTTACATACGGCAGTTAGAACAGATAAAACGTTAGAAAGACTCACCGTGAAACATGAGAAAAGCGAATATTATTCTTAAAATTAATTATGATGCTCAGCGTCATTGCGTCTTATAAGACATCGACCAATTGATTCTTTGAAATTATCAGAAATAATCTACAACAGTGTAATTAAAAAACTTCCACTCTGCTTGTTACATTTGATCATCCATTTTGATTGTCGATGATTTTACATCATAGATGCGCCAAATTTCAAACTTGCAAAGATGCGTTAATTACGTAGCTGTCGCCATCTGTACAACGATAGCGCGTCTCTATCATCCAATAATTTACCGACTTTGCGATGACACGAGTCGCTATTGGTTGAAATGATTGTTCACAGTGTGCCAATTTATCTATGTAAAGACGCCCAAAGGGCCGTTTCCGTTTTATTCGCTGCTGTTCAGTTCAGCTTAGTTCGTCTGAGGTCCGAGTTCGTCCGATCAGCTGATGACGTAACATACGACAAGCGTGTGAGACAAGAGTTGTGTGCAATTGTGTGTTATACTCGTATCAGTGTCGGTGGCGGGCGCAAGCAGCGACGTATGGCGCAAGAGATTTCGAGGTAACTCGTCGTCAATCGTCAGTGCTCGGTCTCCGCGAACTCGTTCGTGCTCCGTTATTACGCGTGCACGTAGCATCGCTCGTGTACATTCGAGCCGCGTTATCGTACGCGGAGTAACGTGCGTGCCGCAGTAAGCAGGGCGCGAATTGCTGCCTTTATCCCTGCCGAGCGGGGGTGCACCAAAAGTAAGCGATACAAAGAGGAAGAGTGAGAGAGAGAGAGAGAGAGAGAAAGAGAAAGAGAGAGAGAGAGAGAACGGATCAAATCGTGTCAGGATGAGTGTCGACGCGTACGGGCCCAGCAGCCAGACCCTCACGTTCCTCGACACCGAGGAAACGGATCTGATCGGCGCAGACACGCAGGGCAGCGAGTTCGACTTCACCGACTTCACGCTACCATCGCCGAGTCAGACACAGGCCTCGCAGCATGACGCGACCCAAACGCAGTCCAGTCAACCCGTTCAGGTTCGTCAAGTCCATGAATTATGAATACTTGTCTCATTGCATACTCCGCGCACACCTTACTGATTTTCGGCGCGGCAGCGTCCCGGAAGAATTTCCCGGCGGCCGAATTCTTCACAGCCACGCGGCCTAACCTCGCATCGTGTGTGCCAAATGCGTGTTGCGTGCGATACGAGTAGTATGAAGCGACCGATAATGCAACTTTTCACTTCGCACGTTATCTCCATTTCGTGACCTCGCATTTTTCCTCGATATCGAACTCTGCGAGATTCCCAGCGGGCGCGTACCGCTAACGTGGCCCCGATCGTTCGCTGGGGAAACACAGAATTGTTCCACCTCTGCTACGCGGAATCCATTGGTCTTCCTCAAACCAGCTACGCGAACGCGAGATTAAATGTACACACATGCGTTAGCATTTTATATAGTTACGCAAGTTGCTTTTAGGGTTTAAATGCAATAAGTAAATTGTGTACACGTGTTCATTTTTTAAATGGTTGAAGAAGAAACGATTCGATGAGACATTTAATTCCTCGCTTGATAAACACATTTCTTCTATTCAAGTAAGATAAAATCAAGCGACGTGATAATCTTTCATGCGATATACAAGTACATTTAACATAATTTTACAAAATAAAATAAAATAATAAATATATAAATAACTTTATGATGTAATATTGATACATAAAGAGATGAGTTAAAGGTCTGTTCGAGTGAATTTTAAATGGGCGTGGAGAGCTCCAGAAAATGTGCTTTATATTTAAGATTTTTTATTTTTGTTTTATTTTTATATAAAAATTGTTCTACACTCACATGTACATTTAGTAATTATTCTGTTTTAAAAGATATTTATCTTAAATTGCGAAGTTTTTTCTATTACTTTATCTCTATTACTTTATCATTTCATCATTCTAACATAACTTCTCTATATAAAATGTTTTTACAACATTGCTTTGTTGCTTAGGTAAATGGAACAAATAATACTTCATCATTGGAATTAAAAATCTCTGGAGCAACCCAGAGTCTTGCTGAGTTACAATTTGAAGAGGAGGAAGAGGAAGCATATTATAATCGTGATTTGCCTGAACATGCGTGTAAATATTGCGGCATCCATGAGGCATCCTGCGTGGTTATGTGCAACGTTTGCAGAAAGTGGTTTTGTAATGGACGCGGTAATACATCGGGATCACATATTATCAATCATCTTGTACGTGCTAAGCATAAGGAAGTCACTTTGCACAGGTAATTCACTTCTTACATTTTCATATTGATATAATAAAATTTACATTATATACAGACAATTAAGAATACTAATAAATACACATTACATTATATAAATACACTTGAAAATATCACTTTAAAAAATTTTTAAATTTAAATTATAGGTTTTTTAATTATAAAAATTTATTATACCATTTATTATACCGTTACAGAGATGGCCCTCTCGGAGAAACTGTCTTGGAGTGTTATTCCTGTGCCACGAGAAATGTTTTCGTATTGGGTTTTATTCCTGCTAAAGCTGATTCCGTGGTCGTACTACTTTGTCGTCAACCATGCGCAGCACAAAGTTCCCTGAAAGATATGAATTGGTAAGAAAGAATCTCTGTTTATACATATTAATTACAAAGAACGAGATATCTATGTATATTTATTTACTTATGTGTTCATATACACATGTTCAGATACACAACATCTTTAGCATGATGTATATTTAAGCCTTTCTGTAATTAATATTTGATAAAGTCGCATGATTCATATTATGACTGCTAAAGAAATGTCCTTTTTGTGCTCTGTCCTCCCACTATGTCACATTTATCTGCTCACATGACTACATTAAAGTGAAAGAGAAAGTGAGAGAAAGACAGAAAATATCATGTGTATTATTGAAGTGGACTGAGGGAGAACATTACTTTAAAAAGCTTGCTCAGTCCTGACAATGTAACTTTATCGAGATTTGATTGTGTATATTTTGTGTATTAATGTTTCCTTTATATTTAGGGATCAAGAACAATGGAAGCCTTTGATTGAAGATCGTAGCTTTTTGGTTTGGCTGGTGAAGATTCCGTCGGAACAAGAACAGTTGAGAGCCAGACAGATTTCTGCACAGCAAATTAATAAGTTGGAGGAATTATGGAGGGACAACGTTGATGCTACTTTTCAAGATCTTGAAAAGCCTGGAGTAGACGAGGAACCGCAGCAAGTTCTGTTACGTTACGAAGATGGATATCAATATCAAAATATTTTCGGTCCACTTGTAAAATTAGAAGCCGACTATGACAAACGTTTGAAGGAATCTCAAACTCAAGAGAATATCGAAGTACGATGGGACGTTGGACTAAACAAGAAGACTATTGCATATTTTTTGCTGGCTAAAACAGACGGTGACATGAAATTGATGCATGGAGATGAATTGAGACTCCGTTATTTGGGAGAGCTTCATAAGCCTTGGTCCGGAATCGGACATGTGATTAAGATCCCGGACAATTACGGAGAAGAAGTTGGAATCGAATTGAAGAACAATTCTGGAGCGCCGACCGAATGCGTCAGTCACTTTGTCGTTGATTTTATTTGGAAAAGTACGAGCTTTGATCGGTAAGAATTATCAACAAAATTATAATGTATTAATATATTGTTACTTGTGTGATTATGATTTTAAGAAATATTTTTATTTTTTTATTACAGAATGCAATCTGCGTTGCGCAAATTTGCTGTAGACGACTCATCTGTGTCGGGTTACATATATCATAGGCTGCTGGGTCATGAAGTAGAAGAAGTTCTGTTCCGTTGTCATATTCCTAAGCACTTCAGCGCACCAAATCTGCCTGACTTGAATAGATCGCAAGTGTACGCTGTGAAGCACGCGATACAACGACCTTTATCCCTGATCCAAGGACCACCTGGAACAGGTAAAACCGTAACAAGCGCTACAATAGTTTATCAGCTGGTGAAACAAAATGGCGGCCCGGTTCTCGTGTGCGCTCCTTCAAACACCGCTGTCGATCAATTGACCGAGAAGATACACAAATCAAATCTAAAAGTCGTACGATTGTGTGCCAAATCACGCGAAGCCATCGATTCGCCGGTGAGTTTCCTCGCGCTGCATAATCAAATAAAGAATATGGAGACAAATACAGAGTTGCAAAAGTTGCAACAACTTAAGGACGAGACGGGCGAATTGTCGAGCGTTGATGAAAAGCGCTATAGACTCTTGAAGAAAGCGGCGGAAAAGGAACTTTTGGAAGCTGCCGATGTAATTTGCTGTACATGCGTTGGTGCTGGTGATCCGAGATTGCACAGATTAAAATTCCATTCTATACTCATCGACGAAAGCATGCAAGCCACCGAGCCGGAGTGTATGGTACCCGTTGTTCTTGGAGCTAAGCAATTAATTCTCGTCGGAGATCACTGTCAATTGGGTCCAGTGGTGATGTGCAAGAAAGCAGCTAGAGCCGGCCTATCGCAATCTCTATTTGAAAGATTAGTTGTACTGGGAATCAGACCTTTCCGCTTGGAGGTACAATACCGTATGCATCCCGATCTCTCGCGATTCCCGTCAAACTTCTTCTACGAAGGCTCTCTGCAAAATGGTGTTTGTGCTGATGAGAGAAAATTACTGAAGATCGACTTTCCCTGGCCTGCACAGGACAAACCAATGTTTTTCTACGTTACGCAAGGCCAAGAGGAGATAGCGGGAAGTGGAACATCCTACTTGAATCGTACAGAAGCATCTAATGTAGAAAAGATAACAACGCGATTCTTACGTTGCGGAGTGAAGCCTGAACAGATTGGAGTGATAACTCCGTATGAGGGCCAGCGGGCCTATCTTGTGCAGTATATGCAGTATCAAGGTTCCCTGCATTCGAAATTATATCAAGAAATCGAAGTGGCAAGCGTGGACGCTTTTCAGGGACGCGAGAAGGATATAATAATAATGTCATGCGTACGATCCAACGAACATCAGGGCATTGGATTCTTGAACGATCCTAGAAGATTGAACGTGGCACTGACTCGTGCGAAGTACGGCATCATCATCGTGGGAAATCCCAAAGTGCTTTCAAAACAACCACTCTGGAATCACTTGCTTAGCTTTTACAAGGAACAAAAGGTGCTGGTTGAGGGACCGTTGAACAATTTGAAGGAATCCATGATTCAATTCGCTAAACCAAAGAAACTCGTTAACGCTGCTAATCCAGGTTCGCACTTTATGTCTACGTCAATGTACGATGCGCGTGAAGCCCTGATTCCAGGATCAGTGTACGATCGCTCCGGCGCGCAGATGAACGGTACACAAAATCACAATCCGTACTACCAAAGAAACGTGCCGCTCGATATGTTCAGTCGTACTCACGATACCATTAGCTACATCAGTCCGGAGCGGGCGCAGGCGGCGATGAACAACATGCCCGTACCGGTGGGTATGTTCATGAACATGGCACATGTACCGCCGCGCTTCTACAACCAGCATCAGCAGGCATTGCAGGCGCGCCAGAATCAGAGAAACCGGCGCGGCGCCACAACGTCGACGAGGAACAAATCCGGTCCGCGTATGGGCAAACTGAGTCAAACGGAACAAAACACACAGCCTTATAGTCAGCCGGGTCTGCCGCTGACTCAGGGCACGACGCAGGGCATGTCTCAACCCGGCTTCAGTCTCTCGCAACCTGGTCTGAGTCAGGCGGAACTCTCTCAAGACTCATTCGCAATCGAATTCCAGTCGCAGATGGATGGTCTCTTATCGCAAGACTCGACTTATCAGGGCGACCGAAGTGGCTTTTATCAGTCGGGCCAGTCGCAAGCGGGGGGACATTGTTCCCAGCCCTACTGAGCCGAAACCTACGTACGGCTGAGCAACGCAATTGCCATGCCATGAAGGCTCGTTCGACCAAATCTTCTCGACCAACAACCAACAAATCACTAACTGCGCAAAACGGTAAAACGTTAAAACGGCTCGACGATCGAGTACGATATTATGCAGCGTATGCAGTCGTCGACGTGAGATAAAGGGGAATGCAAGAGGAGTGAAGATTCCGTAAGCTAATTCGCCGTTGGAGGACTCCACCGTGGACGAAAACATGCAAGATTTATGTATCTACTGACTGTAACGAGTGCGACGAGGGCAGAGGAAGAAGACATCACACACAGGCTGGGAGACGACAAACGACCACTTACCAATCACCGTGACACGCACTATAAACGGACCGTTTTATCGCGGGGATCGAGTGACGCTAGAAATATAAAATTACAAAGGAAAGAAAAAAGAAAAAAAATGGGTGTACCGCTTCAAGACTCGACCGAATTTGACAAGTGTGCCAACGTAGCATCACGATCGGACGAATCTACGGCGAGGAAATTTGTGGAAGATCTTTATGCTAGTCAAAGTATAAAAGATCAAAATCACAATTGCACCGGAAGATTAAGTATTTCTCCCACTTTGCCACAGATTAATATTCAATTCGAGTGGAAAGCACAAGAAAAATAAAAACTACACATTCTTATTATCCGAATTCCTTTATACTCATCACCATCTCGAGCTGAGAACAAGACATACCACTGTGCGAACTTGCTGCACGAGAGTGCTAACGCACATCATACACATCGGGAGTTGATAACAATTTCTCCAGCTGAACTGTGTCGAAAAGAAAGTCGCTAATCGAATCGTCAGACATACGAAGCATTTCAACATCATCACGGAGGTGGGACATCTTTTCTCAAAAATCCGGCATCTACGCCGTCGTGAGAAATTCATCGGTGGTTTTAATCTTGTTGATTAGTTTTCTTTTTCTTATGTTATATCTATTGCTTATTTACCGCAGGGGGTTGAACGCAGCGCACGATTGAAAATATTGCTTTCTTCCAGTAGATCCTTAGTAACGTGCTAGCGGTTAATGTGACCGAGAAAACAGTATAGACATAGGTTTACTAAATATTCTTTTTCTTTCTTTCTTTCTCGTAGAATGTATGTATATTCGGCAACAGCATATAAAAGTACACGGAAATTATGCTACTCTGTTCGGAGAATTATATGCATATATGCATATATAGAGTTGATATACATCATCGTAAATCGACGAGTAAGAAACTACTAAAATTCATTTAGTAATTTGACGATGGGTCATTGTAGTATCTCTATACTTTATTCTATAAGAGAATGACCTCAATTTTCACTGATCACGTTCAGTTCGCTCCTTGGAAATTGCTTGCTGGGCGATAAATAAACAGCACTTCATTAACAATGATGTCAATTCTAATGCATTCATGTTGATGCAAATAGGTTTACTGAGTTGAAGAAATCTGTGTTAGTCCATTATTGAATGCCGCATAACTTCTATTTTTACTCTTTGCTATCAGATACGCGAAATATGCAATGATATTACTTGCATATGAATTTTGCAGCATAACACATATCACTTTTTGACTGTCTCATTGTGTATTTTGGACATTGCCATTATTCATAATGGTACCGAATAACTCATTATTAATTGTATTATTTTACTTATCGTACCAACTCTAGAATTCCATTCTTTAGATTTTTATTCGGATTGCTTTTCTATTCTTTTTGGTAGGATAGGTCTCTATTCTAATTTTATACTATGTCTATACTGGTTTCTGGCGGTAATAAATTTGTTATATTGCAATAGATTAAGTAACAATTAACATAACTTGCGTTATACAACACTAAAATTGTTTTATTTCTTCTGTCCGACCAACAGCGCACCGCTATATAATAGCAGATTATAATAAAATTTATTGTGAAATCTTATGGAAAAATAAATTTGATTTCAAAGCAACATATGTAATTATTTTGTATTATAACGTCACACATTTGCTATATATTTTTCAGACATGTAATTATTTTATATTATAACAAGATATGTATGTACAATATATAAAAATTTTATTTTTATTTAAGAAAACTGAAATTTAAAAAACTTTAATATATGTTACACTATTGATATCACAATGTTAATTTCAGGGAATTCCAAAGCGCATTCAATATTATATTTTATGTTAGTAAATATTTATTCGCATATTAATGAACATAGATAGTAATAATCTTTCAGAATATTATACAATTATGATTTTAAAACTATCCAAAATAAAAAAAAAATGAAAAATTAGATGGAGAATTAATTGTTACACATTTGCTTATATCTTAACATATAAATTATGACAAAATAAACATTAAACATTTTTAACATTATTTAACAATGTTTAATACTATTTACTTTGGCGCAAATTATATCTGTAAGATATACAGCAAATGTGTAACAATTTATTCTAGGGAGAGATACAAAACATATATAATAAACATCGTTTCTTATTTGATTAATAAAAAGTAAATAAGTCAATAAATAAAAATTTTTTTTCTTAAAAATAAAAAGGTTAGTTATTCGTAGCTAATTTTGGAGTTTACATTGTTCTGGGACTGTACAGTGGTTTGTGCGCAGAACTACTGATAGGCGTTATAGCGGCAGAGAGATTTTTCCTCAATGGCTTCATGGGCGTTCGCACTATTGGTGTTCTTTTGATATTGAGTTTATTGCTGGTTTTTAGTATTTGGTCTGGCAGCATTCAACTTGCAATTCTTTTCTGTATGTCATATGGCCTTGGAATTTATTGTACGTTGTATCTACTACATTATTATTGGGTGACGATTCCTTTCTTCTCTGTCCACCTTTGGAAGATCTACTTGGTTTTGATATAATAATTTTTGTAAGTCTTCCACTTCTTTTAATCTTAGATGCAGTAACAGTAGGTTTAGTTTTGTCGCTGTGTTTGTTTCATTTTTTTGCCGATATATTAGGAGATGCGGGGATCAATTTGCGATTCGATAAATCCAATGTAGCTCTAACAATGAGGTGAGACGTGTCTGGTTTAGAACCGTTTAGAGGTAATTTTTTAACAGATTTGTGCCGTAACCAGGATATCTGTCAAGAAAGGATTGATAAATGTCAGCAGGTTTGTCAAGATACTTCCACAATGTCAATAATTCTTTCATTTTCTCAATCTCGCATTTTGTTTCTTCCACTTGCGTCTTTAATTTGTCTCGAAACTCTCTCAATTTTGCCATATTGTTTGCATTTAGTACAAACTCCTCAGGATTGTCGCAAATCAATTGTTCAAATGACGAAGAAGCAACTATATCCAAATCATTCATCATTTTAATTATAGAATGACGTATTTCCGTAAAAACATTTTGCAAATGTATTTTCTCATTCTCTTGTTTCTGTAGATACAACTTGAAACTCTCGAGTTCCTGTTCAGAAAGTAATACATCTATATTAAGTTCAATTTTTGATACCAAGTTTCTCACAAATGTTATGTTCCTTCGCCAACAATTCCTTCAGTAACATCATACGTTCTTTCATGCGTTCCAAATTTTGTAGATCTGCTTGAAGCATTTGCTCCACTTCATTCAATGGAATCTGGTCATAGGTCTTGGGCACTAGGGCATAGAATGCCGCAGAAGAATTGGGAAAACTAAAAAGTGCTAGTGAGACACAATTTAAATATTACGAATAAGTTAAGAATCATATAAAGGATCTGCTACATATCATGATAGCCGAAACAGGGTCTAAGAAAGAGCAGTTGTAACAACATACAGAAATTGCTAAAGCAAACAACAATATATATGCAGGTTTAATTCTACAGAATTAAATTAATTCTGCAGAATTAAATTAATTTAATATTGGCAGATGTGTAGCAGATCCTTTATATGATTCTTAACTTGTTCGTAATATTCGAATTGTGTCTCATTGAGACGTTCTAAGTCTTCCCAATTTTTCTGCGGCATTCTATGCCCTAGTGCCCAAGACCTATGACCAGATTCCATTGAATGAAGTGGAGCAAATGCTTCAAACAATTTCTTCTACAAATTTGGAACGCATAAAGAAAGAATGTATAATGTTATTGAAGGAATTGTTGGCCAAAGAACATAACATTTGTAAAAAACTTGGTATCAAGAAATTGAACATAAATATAGATAGTCTATCTCTTGAACAGGAACTCAAGAATCTCTCGAAACTCGTTCAAGAATTGTTAAAGCAAACAACTAATATATCCAGGTTTAATTCTTTAGAATGTATGTTGTTGCACAACTGCTCTTTCTTAGATCGTGTTTCGGCTATCATGTCATGTAGCAGATCCTTTATATGATTCTGCACTTGTTTGTAATACTCTAACTGTGTCTCATTGGGGCTTCCTATGTCTTTCTAATCCTGCAACTCATTGAGTGTCATCTTAACTGCCTTATTAATCATTTTTTCCATTGACTTCCTGGCTTCCATTTTGGATGATCAATCATTGTTCCAATTTTCATATTTTCTTTAAAAAATAATAACATTATTAATTAAAGCTACAGTCGCGGACAAAATTGTGTGGACACCCGTCTATTTTACATAAAAGTATTGTAATTTAATAAATTTTTCTAATCAACTTTTTTTTTTTTTTGCTTTTTATCATAGTTTTCATTGTCATCAATAAATTTGGCTAGTAGTTTTATAGAATAATGTGATTTCTTTTAAATAAATATTATTACAAACTAAAGTGAAACAAAACAATGTGGACAAAATTGAATAGACTGCTTATCGACCGAAATCAAGGCCATAAATGTTTTTGTTTACATTTCTGCAACGAATGTTTTGAATTTCAGTTAGTACTGATATTCTCGTACCATTGACAACAACGTATTTTCAAAAATTCTTTATTAAATTTGAAGAATAAAAAACCGGAAAGAAATTGATTGAATTACAATACTTTTATGTAAAATAGACGGGTGTCCACTCAATTTTGTTTATATACAGTCACAAGCAAAATTGAGTGGACATACATAGCTGCTTTGAAATATGTGTCATCGAATAAATACCTCGCTTTTTCCAATCCTCTATGGTTTTTAACAATAGCTTCTTTGATTGTGCTTCAGCCACTATGTTATCTAACTGTTCCCTTATACAATTTTGTACTTTCTGCTCATAGTGCATTAATCGCGTCTTCTTGGAACATTCTGTGTTTTGCAAGATCTTCTCCAACTTTTTAAATGCTTCCTTACAGTTCTCGTTTATTGTTTTTTCCATTGGCTTCCATTCCAGTTGATCAATCATTGTTTCAACGGTTTTATCTTCCTTAAAAAAGAATAATATTGTTAGTTCAAGATATACATAAATGCGTTTTGAAATGCGTGTCATCGAATACCTACCTTAATTCTTGCAAAGTGTTAATCTATTGCACAAAAGAGATCTGTATAAATCTATACTTATTACTTCTATCACACGCGACTCAAGAAATACCATTTCATATCGTTACTTGAATTCTTGTTCTTTCCTTACTGGCATTTTCGGATAACTGGCTATTGCCACGTTTGTTTGATGAGTGAGCCTTTCTCGTAAAAACCAATGTGTAATTCGCGAATAGCAATAGTAGACGGGAGAGAATCTGTCCTTCTTCCACATTTATTACAGTGTATGATGGGGATATTAAAAACAAAAACAAACATGACATTGAAGTCCCAATCCAATATAGCTCTCTCTTCCATAGTGAACTACTCCAATCCTTTTAAGGCTCACTTTATAATTTCCGGTTACGCTAACATATTGCGGGATCTATATCTGATTAAAAATTTGTTCCTTTTTTGGGGGGAGACATGGCACTGCAATTTCTACACTAATGAACAAATTAGAGTTTTTGAAGTATATTAGAGTATATTAATCTAACATACAAAACATACTCTAAAAACGTCGATGCACACATTATATATTTATTTTTATAATTACACTTCTTTTTCATATGCTGGTTCTAATTTATTTGTGAAATCACATTCACAGTATATCAAGCAGGGCCGCATTTATACTTTTAGAGATCCTAGGTGCAACATCATTATGAGGCCTCAAAAGGACAAGTCTATTTCAGTTAATCAAATTCATACGCATTTTTTTTTTAAGTTTATTGAAAATAAAAGTCGACATGCATTACATGTAAAAAGGCGAAATTTAATAAACAACTACCGATTACAAATTTTTCAGCTGCCTCTAGTTTTTATATTATGAATTTAATATTTAAAAGTATTTTATTTTGCAACTATAACTAGACTTTTTTATATTGTCATTTGTGAGGAGTAAGATTTTAAGATGAGGCCCCAGTTTGCGCCTAATGCGCCTTATGGTAAATGCGGCCGTGATATCAAGACAATAAGAAATTATTTTTTAAAGATAAATATTTATCTGTTTCTTTGTCAAATCATGATTTTTATCGTACGCAAGTTAACACCATAATATCGAACGCAAGTTTACACCAAAGTGATTAAATATAATGTAAATAGTAGTAATAAATATGTGTCATGATGATGGTATCACAAATACATCCACTAATTAAAATAGCGTCCGCGAAACTCGCCTCTGCCGCCGCCCCAGTTTCTATCTCGACCACGCATTCCATATCCTCTGTTGTAGCTTCTATTGTAGCCTCTGCCTTGATAACCACCGAAATTACTATTGCCACCGCTATAATTACCACTGTTCGCGTTTGATGGTCCACGATAACTGTCATTTGTACGCATCATTTTCGGAGGAGATGGATTATTAGCGGAAAAACCGATTGAGTGGCCTTTTGGTGGACGACGCGATTGGAAACCGCCGCCAGTTATCTGCTCCAGTTCGTAACGGCAAGCGTTCATACCGCATAATGACTTGATCACGCTCAAAACCTGATGGAAAAGCATACAATTGTTCTTTTACCAGTATCATTGTCAAAAGATTACTAGATATTATTATACAGAACACATTATTATATATATTATTATTATTTCACTTTTCAATTCATACCTTTTCCTCGGTGGGGCTCAACTCCAGGATTGTTTCTGGATCTTTCGACGCTCTGATCACAAGACTCTCTAAAGCGGGTCGCAGAGCGACTATAGCCGCCGCATGTTGCGGATTCATGTCCAAGTTGATCCAATTATCCAGTCTAATCATGCCGTCAATGTATTCCACTTTCCGAGATCCGAATAGCAACAAATGGATAGGCGACACCATGGTCATTTGCTTGCAGGACACAGCTCTCGTACGAATCTGATAATAGATTAAGAAAGAGTTACAGTTGCATGAAAAAGAAATAGGTATCAAATTAATTTACCTTTTCGCCGAACACGAAGAATGGAAACGGAAAGTTCTGCTCAAAATTGCTACAGTTCACTGACGTTTTGTGAATCAATGCGGCCTTCGATTCTGTAGTGAGAACCTTCCGCTTTTCCTTGTGGTAGCACACATTGGGATAGAGACCCATGCACAACAGCGCGGTAATAGTATCGAGACGCGGATCCGAGCCTGCTTGATAATTCAGCGGGGTCGGGCATAGAGTCTCCTCGGGGAAACCGGCGCTTTGCAATAACGCCTGTAGTTGATTCTACGTATAAAAAAAAATAACAAAGTTATCGAATATAACAAATATAAAAAAATAATACGCGCATAATATGCGATTCCACTGACCTTAGCTTCCCAAGTTATTCGCAAAGTGGGCACGCTCAAATTCTTCGACTCGCAGAATGCCTGCTCCGCGTATTCACCGCCGCTTCTCACCTCCTCCCACGCTTGGAAAGCGTGAAACATCGCGACGTGGTCACTGTACCTCGCGCCGGCAAACCACTTTTGTTGGGCGGTGAGTCTTCTCGCATCGGGGCCCATGTTGTACACCTCGGGGAAAGTAGTGCTATTCGCGGCCATCGTCGAGAGCGCATCTCCCACACGAAACATGCATCCCAGGATCATCATTTTTCCCAGACGCGGTTCTATCGGCAGACGCGCCAAGATCTTGCCGAGGGGTGTTAATTCATCGTTCTTATCCAGGCATTTCATTTCTGTAACCAAAAATTTTATAAATAGAGATAATTTTAGAAAAAGTTAAAAATGTAAAAAAGTATTTACCTCTCAATATGACCTCCGCTTCGATCACGGCGTCGATAGGAGGCGGCTCGATTGCCTTCGACAAGAATTGTCCGATGTTGCCTAATCTTAATAATTTAATGCTCAACGCCAGCTCATGCAGAGGCGTCCTGAACATTTCCGGTGTCATATGTTCATCCATCTTATTGAATCGGGCTTTTGAGCACAGATGGAAAGAAAAACCGGGCTTGACGCGACCTGCTCTGCCTTTGCGTTGCTCCAAATTTGTTTTACTCGCCCAAACAGTCGCGTAATTGGTCATATTGTTATGCGAAGTAAACAGCTTCATTTTGGCTTTACAGGAATCTATGACGTAAACGACGTCGTTGATCGTAATCGAAGTTTCAGCTATGTTCGTGGATAAGATGATCTTCGTTACAGAAGACGGTACGGGATCGAAGACTTTACGCTGATCTTCTCTCGGCAATTGCGAGTGTAGAGGAATAATAAAGTAAGATGATCCGCCGAAGACAGGATGTTGCTGAAGATGTTTCATCAGAGCGAATATTAAATTCCAGCCAGGGAGAAAGATTAAAACAGCGCCCCCGAGATTCTGTTCTTTGATATATTTGAGTAGCGCCTCTATTAACTCGAAGCTGATCTCCTTCTCCGTCAGTTGTGCCATAGCATTCTTCGTCTCCATAGAGTAGACACTGCCGATGACTTTGTTCAGATTTTCCTCCGGCTCGCCGTCCGTCGGAAGCTCGTCCGAGTCCTTAGACTTGCGTTTCCCAGAAGTCGTCGGCGGAATAAAACCTGTGAGCTCTATGCAGTCTTCCAAGAAATACTGCTTCACAGGAAACGCTCTACCTGGAACCTCCACCACAGGACAATTGTTGAAGTACTCGCTGAACAACGTCGTATCGATGGTAGCTGACATAAGAATGATCCTGAGCTCGGGGTAAAGGTGGATCATGTCTCGCAGCACTACCATGATGAAATCCGAATTGACGTCTCGCTCGTGAATCTCGTCGACTATAACATGCGACACGCCTCTGAGACCACCCTCCAGTTTCCTCAAAAGCACACCCACGGTGCAAAACATTATGCTGGCGTAGGGTCTTGGCAAACACGACTCGAATCGTACGGAATATCCGACCGATTGTCCCAGCGCCTCGCATCTCTCGACGGCGACTCTGTCGGCCACGGACACAGCTGAGATTCTTCTGGGCTGCGTGACAACTATACTGCAATACGCACCCTGGCCGGACGCGATGTAATCGTCCAAAATGAATTGACAAACCTGGGTAGTTTTACCGCAGCCCGTATTTCCACGTATAATAATGATCGGATTTTCATTAATGGCGTACATGATTTCCTTTTTCTTGGGGAAAACAGGCAGGTTTGATCTTTCTTTGATGCTCGTCTGCAAACTGGAATCCTGCTGTAATTTATCGCGCTGCTCGTTCATCAAATCTTCCGACAATTGATCCAGAGATATTGTCGCCAACGGTCCTTCGTCGATATTGCATCCGGTCCATGGATTCCAATTTGGCTGAGGAGGCGACCAGCTCACAACACCAGCGGGTTGCGGCACGGAAGATATAAAGTCGTCCAAAACTTGATTAGTCAACAAAGAAACGCCAGTACTTGATGTGCTATTTTCTTCTTTTGGAGGCTATATTATGGATAAATAATTGATTAATAATTTGTACGTATAATGAAACATGAGACGCTAGTAGTATGTGTTAGATGATAAAAGTAATCAGTACCACTGAACTCCATAGATGAACATCAATTGGTTTTATATCTAAATTCGATAAGACTTCTTGAATCTGACTTTCCAGTTCCGGTGAAATTTTAACAGGGTAAGGTTTTATCTGTTCAGCATCTTTATTCTTTTTTAATGTACCACTGAATGGTTCAATAACACCCAGATGATACAATTGGCGCACAATAGACAAAGCACAACTTTTCGAAGCTGTTTGTTTGTTTGATCCAGTTTCACGACCAGTTACACCTAAGACACATTATAGTATCAGCAAATATGTACATGCGCACACAATAATATTGTATTTATATTTTAATAAATAAAGATTATATGACATACTTCGTCCAAGTTGCTTGACATAAATTGACATTTCTGCCATAAAACTCCTACAAAAAGTAATTTTCATGAAATATCATAAACAATATATTTTATATATTATCTACGCAATTAATAATTAAGGGAACAAATGTGAAAGAAACATATATCAATTAAGATATACTTGAACAAAAAGAGTACAAAACATTTGTAATAATTAGATAAAATATTTTAAAGTATAAATTAAAAATTTGTTAAAAACATTGAAAAGTAATTTTAATATATCTACAAATTTTTTTATTAAAAAAGCATCCCAATCAGCAATTTCTCATACAATCCATTAAAACATTGACATTTATTTCAAAGTTTTTATTCCATTTATTCCCTCAATTATACGCAACAAATAACAATAACTTACCATTTGAAGATATCACAGATGACCAGATTGAAGTACATCGAAAGAAATTTCTTTGTTTAGTTGCACCAAAACCATTATTAAATCATTTTAATAAAAGTTTTGGTTTTACACCATCGTTTTCTGTGCACAAGAGAGTTAATAGCTACTCTCTTGCACCAGCTTTAGATGTCAGCAAATAATGTACTCCAAAATGGTCTTGTTAAATTTCAAATGGTACAACATAATCTCTTTCTCATCAAGAAGTTATTTAGAAGAATAAAGTGTATACATATATATAAACTGAATTAATATCTCTCTATTGCAACATCAATGTGTTACAAAAGCATTCCATTGCAAGACTCCATACCTCGTATGATCTGGACCGACTGGGGTATATTTGTAATCAGCATTAATTTTGTTAGTTTGCATAAATTGATGAAGTTTGGACTTGGCATTTTCTATTGTCCAATTCCCATGTATGCCAGAATTCACGTCAACATCCTCCGCATCTTCCACTTTTTTCTGATCAGCCAGTCTATCCATGTATGTGTAGTTACTTTGACCATGTTCGTTGTAAGGCCTGTAGGCTTGACCGATGTCATTTGGTCCCATACCTCCTTGAAACACCGATTTCATCGGAGTTGAGACTTCCGTCTTGATGTTATCCGGTGTCATTGCTTGCGAAGCTACAGTGTCTTTCGGTACATCGTTTGGATTTACACAATTTGTACGGACTAAGTAGTTAACATAATCCTTAGCAGCGTTTCCTTGCGCGTCCTTTTTATTAGTTGAATTTCCTGCACCGACATAGTCACATCCAGGCACACGTAATTCGCAGAGGAAACGTTGTCTGTGCTTCGGTCCTGTGAAAAATACAAATCTATGTAACACCATTAATCTTATATACGAGCGGTAATATTTACCCGTTGGTCTAACATCAAACTGTGGTTCTTTCCCATTCTTCGCACACCACTGGTGGAAGAAAGATTTTATGTCACCCATTTTCGTTTCTTGCCCTTGCACTTTTCAATTGCTAAGTATGCAATGACGTTTTATATATGTTAAATTATTATAAACTTAACAAATAATTCTTACATTTCCATTTTAACAAGAACGAATATAAAATTATTCTAAAGTGAACTACAGCGTGGATCAGAGCAGATAATAATGGATGAGCATGTATTAACTGGAATTAACCTATACAAACGTTACAAGCCTGAGGGCGCTGCAAACAGTGACAAAAAAAAGAAAACTAACAGAACGATAGAAGTTTGTAACCCCTCCAGTTTGCCATTGAACTTATTTAAAGAGCGCGGCAAATTTGAATGTTTATATCGTGCATTAGCAAAATATTCGTAAAATAAAATTTTTTTATTCTGCTTTCTCCCGATACATACTTATTGGAGATCACATGTAATCGCAAGAGCAATTAATATCTAATCTAAATATTTAATATATATACTTGCTGGATATAAAAACTTGAATAAAAATGAAGTAAAAATTGTACAAAAGATTAAAATAATTACATTCTATGGAATTAAAATTAATAACGGAGAAAGAACAATAGAACTTTGTAATACATGAATATTTGATGTCAAAGACCTCACAATAAAGACGTTCAATTGTATTCGTTTACGAAAGAGGAATTTCGTTAAACATTTATTTTAAAATATGTTACAAATATGTTAAAAAAGCGCAATTAGTATTAATTTATAAAAATGTTTTAATCTTAATTATTATCTACATTACAACTGATTAAATTCGTGCTGAAATAGAAAAGTACTTTTTGCCTCGTCTATTTTTTTCCTTTTTCGCTGAATCTTTGTGATATAATTAATTTTAATTAATATAAATTATAAAATATACGGAACAATAAGTTTTTAATGCAATTAAAGTAACAACGGAGAAAAAACAGTAAAACTTTGTAATGCATGAATTGTTTGATTTCAAAGACTTCACAATACAGATGTTTAATTATATTCTTTTACGCGCGAAAGAGTAAGAATTTCGTTGAACATTTATTTGGATAACATTTGGATAACATTTTCTTGCCCGTAAGAATGATTTTGGAATTGATTTAATTTAAATTAAGTTCTAATTATGAAGTTCTAAAAATTTGTTTTTATGAATGTTGTACAGTACAAGAGGCGAAATACATAACTACTTAGTAAAGATGCAATAAAAATCTGTTGAATTACTAATTTTTTAAAAGTTTTAAGCTATAAATTGAGTTGAATAATCATTATCATACATAAGAATGTGACAAGAATGCAATTTTGTAAAAAAAAGCGATTGGAATTATTTGTACGCTGAAGCAATTCATTTTTCTTAATTATAAACTTTCGCCCTGGTCCTGAAGTTCAAATATTGTTCGATTAACAATCTTTCATCTTCTGGAGCAGCGCGAAAATTTTATAATTAAGAAAAAAGAATTGCTTCAGAGTACAAATAACTCGTTTCTTTTGTACAAAATCGAATTTTTGTTACACTCTTATAAACGATAATGATCATTCAACTTAATTTACAGCTTAAAACTAAAAAAAATGAATAATTTAACAGATTTTGTATTCCATCTTTACTAAGCTGTTATGTATCGCTTCTTGTACTGTACAATATTTTATGAAAACTTTGGAAAAACAAATTTTCAGAACTTTACCCAAATTAAATCAATTCCAAGATATCGTTCTAAGAGACAAGAAAAATTTATTATCCAATTAAAAATTTATTATTCCGTATTTTATAATTTATTATTTTTTATAAAATTTACTATTATATATTGTTTTTCTTTAAAAAATAAAAAATAAATTATAAATAAATAAAAATTTTTTAAAAATAAAACGGTAAATTATTCGTAGCTGTTGCTAATTTTGGAGTTCTCAATATTCTGGGACTATGTGGTGATTTGCGTGCAGAATTACTGACAGGCGTTGTAGCAGCAGAGAGATTTTTCCTCAATGGCTTCATGGGCGTTCGCACTATTGGTATTTTTTTTATATTGAGTTTATTGCTGGTCTTCAGTATTTGGTTCGGTAGCACTGAACTGTGCAATTCTTCTTTGTCTGCCATATGGCCTTGGAATTGATTGTACGTTGTATCTACTACGCTATTATTGGGTGACAATTCCTTTCTTTTTTGTCCACCTTTCGAACATCTACTTGGTTTAGTTACAAGAATTTTTGTAACTCTTCCACTTCTTCTAATCTTGGATGCAGTAACAGTGGGCTTAGTTTTGTCGCCATTTTTGTTTCTCTTTGACGATGTATTGGGAGACGGAGTGAACAATTTACGCTTCGATAAACCTAATGGAGTTTTAACAACACTGAGGTGAGACATACCTGGTTTAGAACTGTTTAAAGGTGATTTTTTAACGGATTTATCTTTTGCTTCTTTCCTCGCTTTTTTGATTGTTTCCTTCTCATGATTGATATTTTCCCAAGACTCTGCCAAAACATTTTCCAATGATGTACCATAAATAGTAAATATCTGGTTGTGCGTAGTTTCATATTCATTTATCAGTTGCTTCAATTCTGCTTCAATTTTTGGCAACTTTTTTTGTATCATCTTACGTTCTCTTTCTTCCATTAATAACTGACCTCCGCGATTGTGATAGCGATCAGGATTATTTGCTCGCTGAAGCAATTCTTTTATCTTAATTACAAAATTTTCGCGCTGCTCGAGAAGGTGAAATATTGTTCGATTATCATTATAAAATTTACGTAGCTTTTCCACTTCTAACTCATGTAATGTCAACAAATCCTCGGTAAATGTATTGGAATGAAATGGTGCAAATGCATTTCTTTGTGCTTCACAATATTTGCATAAATCCCACCAATTCATCAATTCGTACCTGATCTGAGTAACATATCTGAAAACATTCTCCTTTCTTTTTTCTTTTAACCGTTTTATTTCTGCATTGAAAGCATTTATTGTACTGGTGCCATAACCAATATATCTATCAAGAAAGGATTGATAAATATCAGCAGGTTCGTCAAGATATTTCCACAATGTCAATAATTCTTCTTTCATTTTCTCAATCTCGCATTTTGTTTCTTCCACTTGCGTCTTTAATTTGTCTCGAAACTCTCTTAATTTTGTCATATTGTTTGTATTTAGTACAAACTGGTCAGGATTGTTGCAAATCAATTGTTCAAATGATGAAGAAGGAGCTATATCCAAATCATTCATCATTTTAATTATAGAATGATGTATTTCTGTAAAAACATTTTCCAAATGTATTTTCTCATTCTCTTCTTTCTGTAGATACAACTTGAAATTCTCGAGTTCCTGTTCAGAAGGTAAAACATCTATAGTAAAGTTAAATTTTTTGGTACCAAGTTTCTCAGAAATGTTATGTTGCTTTGTCACCAATTCCTTCAGTAACATCATACGTTCTTCCTTTATGCGTTCCAAGTTTTGAAGATCTGCTTGAAGCATTTGCTCCACTTCATTCAATGGAATCTGATCATAAGTCTTGGGCACCATATCCAGGTTTAATTGTGTATATATTACTATTGTTTGCTTTAACAATTCCTTTATATTGTTGCACAGTTGTTCCTTCTTAGACCGTGTTTCAGCTATCATGTCATGTAGCAGATCCTTTATATGATTCTGCACTTGTTCGTAATATTCTAACTGTGTTTCATTGGGGCATCCTATGTCTTCCCAATCCTTCTGCAACTCATTGAGTGTCTCCTTAACTGCCTTATTAATCAATTTTTCTACTGGTTTCCATTTTGGATGACCTATAATTATTCCAATGCTTATATTTTCTTTAAAAAATAATAACATTATTAATTAAAGCTATATATAACTGCTTTAAAATGTGTCATCTAATAAATACCTTGCTTTTTCAAATCCTCTATGGTCTTTAACAAGAGCTTATTTGATTGTGCTTCAGCCACTATGTCATCTAATTGTTCCCTTATACAATTCTGTACTTTCTGCTCATAGTACATTAATCGCGTCTCCTTGGGACATTCTGTATTTTGTAAGATCTTCTCCAACTTATTAAATGTTTCCTTACAGTTCTCGTTTATTGTTTTTTCCATTGATTTCCATTCCGGTTGGTCAGTCATCATTTCAACGGCTTTATTTTCTTTAAAAAAGAATAATATTGTTATTTTAACATATGCATAAATGCGTGTCGTTGAATACGTACCTTAATTCTTGCAAAATGTTAATCTATTGTACAAAAAAAATCTATATAACTCTGTACTTATTATTTTTATCATACGCGACACAAGGAATCACGAGAAATGCCGTTGCATATCGTTACTCGTTTGAATTTCCTTTTCTTTCCTTTCTGGCATCTGCGGATAGGCTGTTACCCCTTCCATATGGCCTCGTTTGTTGGAATTATGCCCAGTTCCACCAACATAGATTAACTTTAATCCCGGTTCAACTTACTTTTTACCTTTTTCTAATTCTTAGAACTAGAAAAAGATGAAGAATAAATTGACCGAGATTAAAGTTAATCTACGTTGGTGGAACTGAGCATTAGTGAACTATGGGTGCTTTCCATCAATCATCATCAATGATACGCCACGGCACTGTATTCTAGAGAATTTTCATTTTATCCATCTGCAAAATATATTTATACTCATCGCGATTGTAAACAATAATTAATGATGGTTATGTTTGATTTGTACGTACTTTAAATATGCCAATATGCTCTTGGTACGCCAAATTTCAATTAAATGAACTTACTAGTGTAGTTCGAGTCCAAGGATACTAAGGCTTAGTTTACACCGATTATTTAGTACGCGTACCAAGTACTAAATCAGCTTCTTTAATTGGTGTAGATTTTACACTAAACGATTTATACCTATCGCAGAAGCAGATTTAGTATTTGGTACGCGTACTAAACAATCGGTGTAAACTAGGCCTATGGCAGACGGGGATGTCTTTCCTCTTCCCACGTTTACTACCGTGTATGATGGGTTATTAGAAACAATACAGACATGAGATAGACGTCCCCATCCAATATTGCTCTCTCTCTTCCACAGTAGACTAGCATCATTCTTTTATGATTCATTTTTGTATGTGTATAATGGAGAATTTATACTGCATCTGATGTCCGACGTATGACGTAGACTTTAAAATATCTCTAGCTAGAATTTCTAGAAAACAAGCTCTATTATTGGATATCGGATGTCGTACGTCGGACATCGAACGCAGTGTGAATCCTCCATAACTTCCTCTCATAGCAATCATGCAAAATCTCTATGACAGCAACCAATCAAAAGAGGGCTCCTTTCTGCCTAAGGGAAATAATAATAATAATAATATGAGAAATTAAAGACTTGTTCGTTTTAGCTGCACTGGGGCAGCTCTGGGTCTGCTCTAAACAAGATAATACAGGACAAACTATTTATCTGTCCTGTATTATCCTGTGTAGAGCAGACCCAGAGCAGCCCCAGTGTAGCTAAAACGAACAAACCCTAAGTCCCCTAGTTTCGATAATGAATATCGCAATGACACAACGAGATATCGAACTCCTCGTTTTAGTCGCGAATCGATACGAAATGACATACCAGCAAATGGTTCTAATTCCAACCTCAATAGACAGTTCGAAAGTGCGAAGTACAATGTTTGTCTTGTTTCGTAATTATCTTTAATAATTTATCGTGAACTTTCAAGCTCGTTGGAAATTTCGAATCAGCGAGCGGTGAGAGTTTTCATGCAGATTGGCGTTGAGAGAGTGACGTAGAATTGTAATGATTGAAAGTTTGATCGGGAGCAGCAAGCTCGCAAGGCGCACCGCCAGTCCTCAGGAATGATGAATTGCAATGGAGGATCGTCTGTGGCTGGTGAAGTACGCAATGCGAGCGCTCCCATGGACAGCAAACCGATTGTTACCTGTGAGTTCCGTAGTCGTTGTCACCTTTAACCTCTACGCTATGCCATTGACACCGCCGTTATTCACATGCTGTCATTGACGCCCCCGTCTTTCTATCTGTCAATCTTCGCGACACTTCTCTTTTTTTTCTTTTTCTGCTTGGAATAACTACTGTCCATTATGCGAATGAAATACGCAGCAACGAATGATACTTGCTTATATATTCAAGAACACATAGTTTATCAGATTTTTTGAAACTTTAAAAGAAATATTTGCTTTCTAATGTAGCTTACTATTTTTATTAGAAAAATATGATGTAGATTCTTTTAGATAATTCATTATTTTGATTTTCATATTCAATATATCTGATTTTCTTGTTTTATATATATGTACTATATTGTATTTATTATAAACTACTTGTTTTTATTATACACGATATAAGATATTTACTATAAGTGGATTTTTTATAGCAAGCAACTTTTTTATGGTTTAATAACTTTTTATAATAAGCATGTAATCTTGTCTGATTGATGTATTGATATATATCAGAATATTATTCTCTGATATATGTAAATGTATTGTCTTGTTAATTAACATGATATGTATAGAATATGAATGTAATAATTTGTGCAATGATATAGGTGCTGGAGATGAAAATTTGTTTTCTACATTGGAAAAAGGGTTTACTCCAAGCTATTCCTGCAGATGCAGTAGAATGGCGTAGGTCATTCAGTAGGCCAGTTAAACAAGTTAAACTTGGAGCTACCTTTGTGCCATTTTCCAGAGATATTTTGTCCACTGAGAAAGATTGGCATCTTATAAGGCAACCAATCTTTCATATTTATTGGACTGAATGTTCTGTAAGTTTTGACATTTTAAGTTTTTAACTATATTTCAATTAAATGAAAAATTTGTGAATGTCTATTTAAGATATTATTTTTTCATTCATATTAAATATTTTATTAGATGAAATCAATTGTGATGAAAGTAGAAATATCAATATATTTGGCAATATCTATATCTGTCTAATAACATGATATATTTTTATATTTTATATTCTTTCAGGATGTTGATACTTATAAGACTAGTGTCAGAGATGATATTGATGCCTGGTTAAAAATACTAAATTTATATCATATCCAAGATTGGATGATTGTGTTAGTAGAAACGTATGATATAAAGAAAGCCAATAAACTGCTGCCTAGGACTACAGTTTTGGATAAAATACGAAGTGACTTTGCCGCCAAGAATGGCGACAGGTAATCTTATTTAAGCTATAATTAGTACAGATACAATATATTTCAGTATGAATCTGGAGTTTTTATATTTAATTTTTATATTTAATTTTGCAATATTTAGAAACAGCCTTTTCTAATTTACAAATTATGTTTACCAGATGCTTTTCTATAATTAATCCAATTAAATCTGAATCTCGTTCTGCCGAATCATGGAGAGGTTTGATAACTCGCATTCGTCATTTGATATTAACCGCATACGATAGAACTCTTTCACGCTTTGAAGATATTATACGTGAGCAGAGAGAGAGGCGAAACAATCCTAGTTGGAATTTCTGCCATTATTTTCTTCTACAGGTAATGTAATTGCTTCAAAATTCTAACTTTTATCTAATTATCTAATAACGATCTAATCTCTATTATTCTTTAAATTTTTAACTTTTATTACAATTGATGTTTCAGGAAGAAATGGCATTTGCATTACAAATGCTAGGTTTATACGATGAAGCATTGGTGCAGTATGATGAATTAGATGCTCTCTTTACGCAGTTTGTGCTCAATTCTAATGTAGGAGGTATAGTAATCTCTCATTAAAGCTTAACTTGGAATCAACATGTGCATTATGCAATAAAAAGAAATAATGATACAAATTAAAAACCTAAATATAGATAAACTATTTGTAGATACTCCAGGATGGTTAAGTCTGTTTCAAGCGCCTCTCAACAATTGGGGAGGCGTGAATTTAAATAACGGTACAAACCATCATTTAAGGTTTCTTTTAGCTGAGTGTAGGGCATCTTTATTAGATCTTAGGAGTTATTTGTTTAGTAGACAATGTGCCATGCTGCTCTTGCTTAATAAACCTTGGGAGGTTTGTACAGATTTAATAATAATTAATAATTCATGGATTCATCCTATATTTAAAAATTATTGCTGAATATTCTTCTCTAGGTTGCGCAAAGATGTTTATCATTCGTTCATAATACATTGAGCGAATTAAGAATCTTAGAAGTGCAGAGACCTGAAGGATCTATAGAATGCTGGTCATTCCTCTGTGCGTTAGAGGTCTTGCAAGCCTGTCAATTGTCTATCTACAATATTGATAATAATCAACAGTTAGACTTATGCTCTTTGCATACAGCTAGCTTATGGGCACTTGCAAGAGACAAGGTATTATAAGAGACAAATAATTACATTTTTTTACTTTATTTGACTGTAATTACATTTACTTTTTATTATTTTGTGATGTAATTAAATAATTATAATATGTATATATATATATATACAAATGATACAATATAATGATGTAACATCTTTTGTTTTCATTGTGTATGTTGTGTTTCTTTTTTCAGTTAGGAAGCTTAGGAAAATTATGTGGCCTAATGCCAGGCAGTGAACCAACCAGTGAACAGTTGCACACAGTTGTGTATCTTATAGCAGGAATAGGAGATTCAGAGCCGCAAGTGGAAGGAAAATTAACTCCTACAGACAAATTAAAAGAGGCACTATCATCGAAAGAAGCATTCAAAAAACAATATCTAGAACATGCAGAATTGGCCATGGGCACGTACAAGCACGTCGGTCGCATTCGATCAGCCAGATTAATCGGGAAAGAATTGGCACGATTTTACAGTGAACTCGGAGAAAATCAAAAAGCAGTCGCATTCTTATCCGATGCTTTAAAGACATATATGGACGAAGGATGGAATCAATTGGCTGCGCAGACACAATTGGAGTTAGCCGAGTGCTATAAACGGATGGACGATGTTGAAAAATATACTAAAGTATGCGCTGCAGTAGCTAGTACAAATGTTTTGCATATAACTGTACGGAATACATATTTGGAAGAAATGTTAGGCTATATGAAAATGATCTCTTCGCCTCAACCATTACTCACGGAACTTGGATATGCTTTTATAATACTCAGTATGGAAGTTAAAGTAATGGATAAAGTAGTACAAGACTGTGTAGTTAATGTCGAAATCAGTGTACAGAGTTTGTTTCCTCGAGAATTAAGATGCACTAGTGCCGCTATTTCTGTAGAGGAAATACAAAAGCCATCTATACCTAATAAAAAGAAAGGATTAAAAGCACCTGTTGAACCTCCAGTACAATTGTAAGTATTATTAAGTGAAAGAGTTAAACTTTTTTTCTTACAGATCTTTACTTCCGTATATAATTTTTAATATTTTAATTTTAAAAAACGGATTGTAAAAAAATATATCATTAATCTGTACGTGAAACACAGCATTTATTCTATGTTTTATTGTACATATGTCAAATTTTTATTTCTTTTTCAGATTATCAAAGTGCACACTAGAAGACATGAAGCCACATGATCCAAGTTTGTTGAACTTGCAAGTGTATTCTTACTTGGATTATAAAGAAGATAGGAGTCTTGGTTCTGCTAGTGTTATTAATAAAAATATAAAACCAATTGTGAGACGTTCAGATAGTGCAAAACATAGAAAACCTTCGGTGAACGCAAAAGGTGATTTTAGCAAAGCACTCACCTGTGATGGATTTGTTATGAAACCTGGTAAAAACACATTTGTACTAACAAGGCGAATAAATCAACCTGGTTTATACAAAATTAGCCAGCTATCGTTAGTAATAGAAGAAAAATTAGAATTTTTATCATCTGTACTGAATCCACGATTATGCTACGAAGTAGCAAAGACGCAACCCATGATATCCGTAAATTGTGGTCGAGATTTACTGGCAGGTCTCATTCAAGACATTGAGCTAGTTATTTCGAGCGGAAGTACGAAGATAACTGAGGAAATGAAATTAAAACTGCGCACATCACGTGGATTAACAGTGCAATCACAGAGCGTTGAAAAAATAACGGTGAAGGAATTAGAGATACCACTGCTAACATGTGAACCATTTAAAACTATAAGGGTGCAATTAAAGGTTCTGGCTGAACTTCCACCGAAGAAGGATTCTTCGTCTATGGAACACAAGGTATTTGATATATATAATATTTTAATTAAAAAATTTCAATTTTAATTTATATTATTCTCGTCTAACTAATGAATATTACAATTCGTAATTTCTCTTTCTAGTTAAATATACAGTGTCCATGGGGCTCGGAAGAAAGTATACCTTTACATTTTGGTCCACCATTAATGTCAAGTATGAAACTTCACACAGCAAAGCAAAGAAAATTTATTCAAATAGTTGTAACTGGTTTGACAAGTCAGCTTCTACAATTGACTGAGCCTGGATTAACAACAATTACGTCGATAGACGTTAACTTCAAAAGTTTAAATCCTGTTGCGGGTCAGAGATTAGTGATAGGTAACGGAATGAATGTTTCCTTTATGTGGGAACTTGAAATTGGAAAAGATGAGAAATCCACGTTGCCAATAAAGACTGATTTTCGTGTAAAATATGTACCAATTAATGATACTGAGGAGTTAAATGATACACATGTTGACGATGATCCATTACATATACATAATTTAGAGAGAATTGAGAAAGCTTGTAGCGTTTACAGATGCAATTTTGATATTACAGATTATGTGGTAAGGATAACTATTTCTTATTATTAACTAATGTGTGTAATCTATAGCTATGTGATATACATTTGAATAATATTCTATTTATTTAAAAAATAAGAAAAAAAAGCAGGATTAATATGATAATTTGTAATACTGTCATATTTAGTATTACTTATAAAATATGTAACATTTTATGTATATTGTAGCTGTACAATGTAGCGTATAATATTAATTTTTATTTGTAATGATGCTTTCCAGACTTTATTTACCGTATCCTCGAAGATTGAAGCAAGTGGTGGTGGAGGAGAATTTTGTCGCGCTGGTAGCATGTGTCACCTCTGTCTTACAGTGATGCGCGTGTTACCTAGTCTCAGTCCAAATCCTCCGCCACAGTTGATGTATGAGGTTCTAGCAGACCAAACTATGTGGGCAGTGTGTGGTCGGACCGCAGGCATCGTGTCATTAGAAGTAGTGGAAAAGCAAAGCGTTACATTAGATGTAATGCCTTTGACAAGTGGTTATTTGCCTCTCCCTGTTGTTAGATTATCTCGATACATACCTGCAACAGAGTCCAAAAATGGTAAGTTTAAATATTCTATTATGTATTATAATTTAACTATAATTAATGTTATTTGACTTGTCAATAAGTTTGCCGAATCTTTATTCAAAAATGTCTGCTATATGATCTGAAAGAAATATTTTTTGAACACTGTTTACGCCAATAGATTGTTTTACAAAAATTTTAACTGTTTTATTTGTTTTCATTTTAAGATATCGTCCGTAATAAAAATGATATAGGATCTGGTCCTCGATTAGAGCCATTTAGTCCAGGACAAGTGTATAATGCCAGTAAAGCACAGCAAGTGCATGTTTTGCCAGCAGCTCCATCAGAATCGAATTAGAAATATGTAAATTGTTGTTAAAGACGTGTATATTTTATTTTCATGTAATTAGTCACGAACACTTTAATTTATGAAAGGCTTGAGAAAGCAATTATAAATTGTTTTCGCAATCAATTAAATAATTGTATATTTTATTTTCAATTAACACAAGGTAAAGTAGATTATCAATGTAAATTCATATTTTGAAATAAGCACACAAATCCGCACATATTAAACAAGATCGTTTAATATCATTGGTTTATGTAAGATTTGTATCACAGTTTATTTTAATTTTGCATTACCAAAGTCATTCAATTTTCAAAAATCAGAATTTTGCGATTAATTGCTTGCAACGCCATAAAAAATTTTTATTTAAAGTTCTAAAACTTCTATTTTTACTGAAGATACCTTTTTTTTATTGAAAAAACTATGTCTAATATATGTAATTATATTTTGTATTTATTTCAATTAGATTTCATTAGAAGGTAAACATATTCTTGCATTAATATGATATATATCATATTGATGAAATACTAGAAAATGTCCTATTTCTTGATGATTCGATATCAGTTATGAATGTTGATTAAACTCACATTAAGTGTTCTAAATTATGTACTTATATCTTTGCATTTGACAAATAATATTATCTCTTATTTGACACTTATCCCTTTCTAATCTATATTATTTGCTGTTTATTACTATATAAATCCCAACAATCTTCTCTCTTGCTTGTTTAAAATATTTGGATATTTTATATCATTTTATAGAAGAGAGATGGAGTAAAAATTTGTTCTTACACAGCAAACATAAATATGTAAAATTTGTACAAATATTTGTTAGTAATATATTCATAAGCATATCTGAATAAATGTTACATATTTTTATTCGTTAAATTGTAACATAGTAATTCTTACAAACATAATTTTGATACATAAACTAGAAATTTATTTAATGTTATGCAAAAATAAACATTGTGTTCTCTTAATAATATTTGTATTTTAAATATATTTATAGAAAATAAGAACAATATACATTATACTTGTTAGCAATTATTCATCAGAATTGGATATTATCAAAATTTTTCTTATGTTGCCATGTTTTTTCTAGAACATTGTAATTTTCTACAGTTTTTTAATTTGTAAATAAGATAATTGTAATACTCTATATTATCGATATTTACATATCTTTTAAATTACAATGTTTTCAAATTAGTATTTATATAAAATCATATTTATTAAATCTGTTTATTATTTACAATTTGTGCAGAAGGTATATTTTTACTAAGTAGTGTTAATATTTAATCTATTATAATTATTACGAGAGAAAGTCAAAAAGTAAAAGTACTCTTTTTTTTTAAAGAATTTAATTTCTCAACTGTTCCTTTACTTTTTGATTCACTCATATATTTGCGAAATATCTATTTTTATTATATTTGTTGATATTAAGTCGAAGACTTATGTTCAATATATTAATTCCTACTTTTTTATATGTATAATTGGAAATATGTTAAACCAAATATTCATTTATATAAGTTAAAAGTGTATGATTAGTAAAATATATATTTTCATCTAATATGTTATTACATCTATTATATATTTTAGTAGCTCTAAAATAATTATTGGTATTTGTATCAAGATATTTTTATGCTTTTAAAATACTGCAAAAGACTCCAGTAGAAGTTTAAGTTAAGTTAAATATGTTTAATTTATGTATTTTTAATGTTTATTAAAAAATTCAACTCTATTTAGCCTAACATTTATTGAGATAATTCATATAATAATTTTTTTTGCATAAAAAGGAACATTATTTGTAATATTCAAATAAATAGTAAAATGCCCTAATAATTTAACACTAATAAAAATTACAGATAGCATTGTAGCATTTTGTAAAAATAAATATAAACTAAATGTTAGATTTATCATATTTATATATGAATGATACTACGCAATAATGTAAAAAATGTTGTTTTTTGATTAATTACAATTCCTACATATTGTATATGAATCTCGTAACATGACATAGCATTGGCATTTCATATATTATATCTGTGATACAGTCTTCAATGAAAAGAATAAATAATTCTAGAATCATTAAATTATCTTATGTTCTCAAGACATGATCATTTTTAATTTGATTAATTATTCACATATGTTGAATGTTGAACGTCTTATTTTAGAACATATGTATTATATCAATTACATATACGTAACTATTTTAAGAGTTATATAATTATGTTATAAATAACACTGATTATATTAAATACTTCCATTTCATAGATAATTATAATTGTGTCAAAGTGCTGTATATAGCTAATGTTATATATGTACATAAAATTGTACATACATATATATAATAAATGAATCTGTTACCTTTGTTAATATATAATAAATAATACAACCCATTATACGTTTGTTGTTCTAATAACTTTAGTTATAATCAATATAATAATTGTAAGAGATAATTGTGAATTAGAATATAATATTGGTCTTATACCTCTCAATATTTGTTCCATACATATTAATTTCGTAGATATTACAAGTATATACCATTTGTAAGTATATTGGATCATATTAAGCTGATAGATTGCACTTATACAGGGTGTGCAGAAAGAAAGATCAATACTTTGAAAGGTTATAGCATAAGTCATTTTAAGAAAAAAATTCAGATATAGACATATGTTCTGTTTTAAACGGTTTCCAAGATAGAATTATTGAATGTATAATTGCAAAAATATTGACACTTTTTATAATAATCAATTATCAACAATTATAACAGCCAACTGATTATTAACATATTACATAGTTGAGACAGATTTGTGTAGATCATAGAGGAAAAAGAAGTGCGTACCAAACTCAAACAGCTTTATTTTGTAAACCATTTGGAATGCAACAATGTTACGTGAACTTTTTTTAGAAACTTATGCTATAACTTCTTAAAGTATTAATTGTTCCTTCTTGGACACTGTACGATCTTGTTAGGATGATTTTTTAAATAAAATCGTGTTATTAGTATTATAAAGTATTATAAAATTTTTATTTTTTATAAATATGTGGACACGGCCAACTGAAACAAATTTGTTTATCAAAAATATGTATATATCTGCAATAAAAATGGGGATATAAAAGATGATATTTGGGTTTGCTATCAACAAAACAAGCTAATATCATATAAAGCAATTCATTTATTTAATACTTACATTAATAAAATTTTAGAGATAATTATTACAAAATTATAGTTACAGTAGAGAATGCATGCCATAAGAATACAATAATTCTGCGAATGCACAGTTCATAATTATCACAAAAGGAAGTTGTGGGTGAATTACCTCTCTGTCTCTGTAGATACAGATTATTATATCTGAGTGTTTGCATGATATCAAATACATGTTTGTATATAACTGTATACTGTTTATTAATTACATTTAAAATAAGATTTTTTGATTGATTTTATATTTAATGTTAATAGCTGGGTGGTGGTTGCTGCGTCAAAAGTAGACCATGTCTTCTCTTATTTACAATCCTTTCTCGTGAATATTTATCTTCCACAGAAAATCGAGCTAAAGATAAAAATATTTTATGTAAGTATACTAAAACCTGATCTACAATCTTCTTGTGTATTGTTTCTTGCTCTCTGCCTTTTGTATTTTTGCTTTTTATGTGTTTGCCGCATGGATTCAAGAAACATCGTAATTTACAATTTCTCCTTTCCAAATTTCCAAAAATATGCTTTTACATAAAGGTAAAAAGGCAGAAAACAAAAATAAAAAAACACAGTAGATTCAGCTTAATAAGTCCGAGGTTTGAATAAATAAAAATGTTATACTTTATAATTAACCTGGATGTGCTGATAACGTAGGTTTTCCATCAGGATCCACTTTCTGCACAAAGTAAAAAAATACTTATGAAAAAATAAATATTTAAAGAATTCTATGACAAAGAAATAAAAATTGCATAGGAAAAGTACAAGCTATATGATAAAACACAGTATTTTGGATTAAAAAGAAAAATTACAGAGATAAATATCAGATATAATTAGGGAGATATAATTAGATATATAATTACTTTTAAAGTGTATACTCGATCTCCGTTTGCGTCCAAGTAATACATCAAATACATCTTGGAATATTGTTTTTTCGGCTTTTAACTTCCTATATTCAACCCTCGTGTAACCATGCTTTTGAAAGGGGTTATGTTCGGCATAACATGGCACAAGTAACGTTATGGTTAGTGCTCATGGTTCTTGTACACACAAGATGGCGCGTGATAAACGATGCAAAAGCCAATCAACTTCTCGCTTTCCGAAAAAACAAAATTTTGATTGGCAGCTGTGTCGTTCTTCACTACGAGCAAGTGTCGCTATAACTATGTAAATGAGCCTTTAAGGCTGTATCTACAACAATTGAAATTCTATTGATCGTACATCAAAGAATATAATGCTTCTTTAATAAAAATGAGCAAATTCCAAAAAAAGAAGTAAGAACTCAAACAAACAGTACAAAAATTCAAGATACAGGTAAAGAAGTATTATAAAGATGTTTTAATTTTATGAATGTTTTTTAAACATCTTTTATATTATTTAGATGCGCGTCTAATTGTAGTTACAAATAAGTCATGTAAATAATCATCTGTCAATATCTTGCAGTTGTCTATATGTATTAAAAGTTTAGGTTTATGGACATATTGCCGCATACATAAAGAAATCAATCAACTATAAATCTAAAATAAAAGATAAATGCCAAATTTTTGTTGTTCTGCGTACTACATACAAAGTAAATTAATTTGGATTTTGAACGGGTTAGTGATGAAGCAGGAAATTACAAAGCTGTTTTTTCAACTGATGAATCAATGAAGGGCAAGTCCTAAACTTTTTGAAGAACTTCATTAATTATAGTGTTGAATTTTTCTATTCTAAATACTCTGTTCGCTACTAACTCTTCTCAATTTTTAACTAAACTCTTTTAAATTTAATTTTTTTGTTTTGCTTTATCACTGTTTTATGTTTGTATTTGACTATGTATGAGATAAGAAAGGCACTATGTATGTGCACAAGTAAATGACTCAGTAGCCGGATATTTAAGAGATAATCATTGTTGAAGATATGATTTTTCTTATCAAAATAATATTTTTTAATTTTTTTGTACACATAAAAATTTAAGTTTATTTAATAAAAATAGATCCAAAAAATAATAAAAAATGCTTTTTTTTTAAATTCTGCAAAAAATTATTTACTTTTAGTAAAATCGTCAAGAATCAATTTAAATTTTGCTTCATATAATCTCAGCGCATTTTATTAACTATTATGTAATTAAATATGTAGACAACATTCTTAATTCTTTTTGTATGTATACATAATTTACTAAAGCTTTTTTCTTAATTATTCTCAGAGTTTTATAGTTATAAATAGTTTGTTAATATGTGGTCGGATATTGGAATATGTCTGGTTATTGGATCATTTACTTTACATGGTATATGTTGTTTACGTATTTGTTGTTTTTTAGCTGCTTTTTTATTTTGAAATTGATTGCGCATGTAACTATAATTTTATTTATTCATTAAATTATTATAAAGTATAAGTAAAATCTGAAGAAAAAAAAAAGATAAATTGCTCGATGATCTCAGTAGATTTAACTTATACATATTTATTATTGTATTTCATCATCATATATCATTTCATATATTCATTATCGTATAATATATAGTAAGTTTTCATATGTGACAGGTTGCTGGTTGCGAATGTAAGCACGATGATGTTCGCCGGCGATTAACCGAGAGGAATCTACGTCAAGATAGACCGCGTGTACTCGCTGGCAGTGACGAGAGTGAGTAGGCATACTGACTGACAATTCCTCGTACCGAAGTCAACATATAGTAGACACGCGCGCACGCGGTCAGACGCAACGAGAATCGGTCGGATAGTGCAGTCAGCTGGGGTGTCACTTCCGTTGACAAGACAAATCATTGTCAGTGCTGGCTTGTCATCCGTGACAACTGTTCGTTGAACGAAGTGAAAAACGAGTTTTTCTAATATCGGATTTTTATGAGGAAAAAAATTATTTTTAAGACGGCCGAATAGGTGCGAATTGTGAAGGCCATATACTTCTGTTTGTTATTTACAAAATGATGCACCGCGAGTGTGATTTCGTGATCGTGAAAGTGAATTACGAATGATGAGGCGTGAATTATGGATGTCGAGTGCAACAAAAAAAAAAACAGACGCGCGCTGTTATTCTACGTGTAGCATCATCTGACAATTAACTTTTTGTTTCCGTTAATGATTATACAATAGGAAGTACGCAATCGTTTGCAATTTGTGCAAGTGGCATATATGTATACAGGTAGCGTGCGCGCAACACATCATTATCATTTGCACAAAGCTACATGCTTGTACAAATTCATTTTAACTAATAAATTTTTATAATAATATCAACAGAAAAATTGCTTTAACTATTCGTGTAAATAATTGTTGATCTTATTATATTTAAATCTTGGATTATAAATATGAAATTTTATAAAAAGATAATACAATTAAATACCTGCAAAGATAGTAATGAAAGACCTTTAATTATAATGTGATAAAAAATTAAGAATGTATATTTAAAGATTGCATATTATTACTATTCTGATCACAGTAGTACTCCACTCGTTCGTATTATCGGCAAACCTCTATCCGTAAAAAATAATCACGCTGATACCGCCACGGCGACTTTAAATCTGCGTCACATCACTAATCTCATTCAGTCTAGCGACTAGAATCGATCGTAAATTGTACGGAGCGTCGTAATTTTTAAATTCTGCCGAACGATTGATTGTGATCTTGTGATTGTTGGGTGTTTTAGATGCAGCCGAGGAAAATTCGTTGGATTATTCAAGTACCGGATGAGCCGCAACATGTCGAAACTGTCGAAGAGCAAATCTCAAATACGAAAGGTAAGAATTCAAATAACACAAAAATTCTCTTTCAGGCTATGGTTTAATAAATACGTTAAAATACGCAAACACTCTAATCTAAATGTTCTTCACGAATGTTTTTTAGACGTCTAGGCTTTTAATATTATATTACATGTCAAAACATGGTGGAAATCATGCGAGAAATCGCAATTGTTGATATTGTTTTATCAAAGCTTGATGCTTTGTCTGTTTTTAATTTGATAAAATTAAATTAAATTTACATTTAATTAAATTAATTATAAGAATTTAATTAAACTTATTTACAATTTAATTTATTAAATTAAATTAAATTAAATTAAATTTAATTAAATGTATCTAACTTGCACTTAAGATATATTTATAGTTTTTATGAAGTTCTTATGTTGTAGTTAATATATTATGTGATAAAATGTGCTTGAATGCATCTTCGATTTGCTAGTTTTTAAAATAAAATTTAGATAATTAATTGCCTGGCTGCAAAATTTCAGCAATAACTTTGTCAGAAATATTTATAATAAAAATTAGATTTTTTGCAAAATTGACATAAATATACGTAATTTATCATGTACACAAATAAACATTTGGAGTGCTAGTCTCTGCATCTTTAAATTTTTATTTTTTGAAAACTTATATCGAGCATAATTCTCGAATGTAGATATCTTAGGTCATATTTAGACTGATAAGAGAAGATTGTGACAGGAAAACATAATATATCAATCAGGCAGGATTTTCAATTCAGATTTTTACGAGTTTTTTTATTACATTGTCATAGATAAAATTTCGTTCATGAATGAAAGATTAAAAAAATCAACACGATTTAACCATTGGATCGATTACGTTTCATATTTATGAGCCACATTAAAAAAAATTTTTGGATGAAATTTTTTACGTGATTTGAATCTACAATGTGAGTTTATTATTTTTAGGATTCATGCTATGTCTAATCGTATGATCGCAGGTAATAGTGCAACTTAATCCTGTTTATTACGTAGAATCGTGACATCGTATATCGTTTACATATTATAAATAGAAATGATCGGCACGGTTTACGATTTTGTACTTTACTCCACTCTTTTCCTTTCAATCCATTTCTTTGTGGATAATTAAAATTTACTTTTTATAGTCGTGTTTTTTCTGAGATGGATTATTCTGCTCGCGTTCTGCTTCGTTTAATTTATTATATTTACGTGAAAATGCGAAAATATAATACAAATATGACGTGGAACAGAAATATTGGTGCTGCAAATAACATAGATGGTGATATTTAAGCAATTTTGTTTTGTGCTTAATAATTATTGGTAAATATAGCGATTGCACTTGGCGGATGCTTGAAGGCGTAATCAACGATAATGCACCCGTAAAAAAGATTACGTTATCACTTATCAATTTTCTTCTTTCTCAGTATAAAAGTGTTAGTGTATCAAGCTGTTAACACGTGTAGTCAAATTTATAATGAAAAATGTTATAGGATATGGAAATAACATTTTTTTGGATTGTGTATTGTGTATAATACGTTGAAATCTAGCTCTGGATATTAACGAGATTTTTCGATAGATGCACTTTGAGCTTTTTTTGCACATTTTAACGGGTTAGTTATGTTAAATACCAAGACGGTGCTTGATGCGTCGGCGCTAACTTCTGGAGAGATCACCCGCGAGGTCGAAATCTGGATATCGCGCAGTGTCGCGGCTGCGTTCCATGAGGTCGTTCCGAGCCACGTAAAGTTAGATAGATACGCTCTTATTATAGAAGTTCTCTGACTTCATCATAGACGCGCTAAATTTTCCGTAGATTGTTACTTGGAAATAGTAAGTGTTCGGCAATTTGACAAAAGCAAATGAAACTAATAATCTAGTGCAGTTTCTCAAATAATACTTGCTAAAATATGATCACTGCGGTAGGAAAAATTTGCGCTCTCAATTGATCGTAAAGACTTCGAGTGACTCTACTTTCCATTAACAAATGAACAGGAGGATTTGTTGTTCTTGCTACAGAGCTAGTAATTGAAGTGTGTGCGATCGTTTTACGTGTCGATTGTCACGTCATAAATTCTCTCTGGTTTTGTGCGTTTTCTTCACTATAAATTGTCAGTATTTTATTAATGTTAACAGTTAATCAAATTTTTCTCTTAACCATGTGAACGATAGATATGTGCGGATAATTACACAGATTATATTGCAAAAAAGAATCCGAAATTCATATACTACTCAAATTATCAAATTAATAATATTGATATAAAATATACGAATTTTTATCTTGATTAAATTGACGCTTGTATCTCTCTTGTATCATCGTAATTGCCAGTCTGACTTCGACCGGTTTAAATCACAATATACGGATGTAATCAATGCGCAGTCAATTATATCGAGATGACAAATACATGCATTTAATTATATTTTCACTTACATTAGTTATAGTTTGAAAATAAATATATTATATCCATATTTTTTATTTCATATATTTTGAGACTATTAATTATAATTATAAGATAATTGCTTTGTCAATTAATTATATAATATCCAATTATAATTTAAAACACTTTAATTGCATTATAATATTACATATAAAGCTAATTATAATGTGTAATTATATTGTAGTATTTTGTTTCAAATAATTAGAAGATTAAAAATAATAGAAGATTGAAAAACATGTTTGTGTTAGCACTCACATGTGTATTATTGTTTTAAAAAATGCGACATAATATAAATTCTATGAGAATGATATTTATTCAATTTAACAATGTGGATAAAGTGCCAATTTGTATGCAATTAATGATGCCACGGTAATTGGTTACACAACTAGGTGAAGGGAGTCTCAATGCCTCGGATGCGAGAGCTGCGGGGATGTGAAATTGATCAAATCCATCAACATTAATATGCATAAGATTTGTAACATTTCACTTTTAATAAGTTTGCATTGCTCATATTGTAAGCATCATTTCATAATAATTTTCATATCAACATAATTGTGCTAACGGTTTGTTGCATTAATCTTTAATTGAAAAAAAATACAATGCAAATGACTGTGAAAAAATTTATACTATAATATTTATTGGAACATAATCAAAGATACTGTAGGTACTGGAATATACCTATTCCTTTACAAACTTCGTGTTTATCTACGTGAAGACAAATTATAATACAAAATGGATGATGACATATGTAAGTATAATAATCAACAATTAACTAGACCTTTTTTTATTGCATGTTTTCTCGTTTTATTATATCAGGTTTTCGTAATTAAATTTGTGTCAGAATTTCCTCTTTATTATAATTTTGTAATTAGTTCTAAAAAATTCATTCTTTGTAATTTGAACTAATGAAAAAATTAGTTTGATTATTTTTTTGTTGTTTATTAGTTGAATGTTTTTACTTGAACATTTTTTTGTGTCATAATTCTAATACTAATTGTAATTTTTTTGTTATTTTTGTAGATTATCGCAAATTAAAAAAAATATATATATAATATTTACAAGCTTTACTATCTTTTAGAATATGTATTTTAGAATATGTATAACATTGGCATAAATTACTATGCAGTTTATTTTTACGGATAAAATCGCAAAGGATTAATAAATCGGATTTAACTCTTAAATTGGATGGTATAATAATATTATATCATCTCTTTCGCTCAGAAGCAATTAAAAATTAAAATGAGTATAATAAAAAAATGAATTTACTAATATAAAATTTCTATATATTTAATTTAACTACAACAAAATAGAAAAAAAACAGACGCGTCGTCGAGAAGAGAAATTTATCCTTTGACAGTGGGCAATTGTTTGCAGCTTTCTTTATTTTTGCTTCAAGTTGCTTTGAATGTACATATCACATTGACTGTTAATAACGAGAATGTTAGAAAAGATAATGGTAGCATTGTTTTATTATTGGTAAATCATTGTTCTAAGTGGTCTAAGTTACGACTAATGGAATGTTTACTTTCTCCTGTTTAAAGCGACATGCTTTTTACGAAATATAATTATATTAACCCCTGAAGTGTTAGGAAAAATGTGCGCTTGCATACATAAAAATGCTTTCAAAGAAGACATTAAATTTATTTTTAAGAAAACTGCTTCTTAGAATTTCCTATTGTGTGAATATAAATCTAAACATTTTTAAACTCAAGATAATGAAAATTTATGTGTTATAATGCAGCAATTATTTTAAAATTACTTGTATTAATAATAATGAAATATAAATTGCATTTTGAGATTAAATAATTGTGTAAAATGTATTATGATTATTTATTTATGAGATCTGACATAACAAATTCTTAAAATCGTTTAGCACGTAAAATAGGCATAGCGAAGACAATAGATAATCATAAAAATGTTATTATGATATGTGTAAAAAGAACGTGTTTTATATTACGGGATATATCTATGTCACAGATAAAAGCGACACGTTCTCCGAGAATTGTTGTAATCTTCTTGCTCTGTGATCTCGCGTAAGTCCTACTATAACTTTGGAAATAGGGAGAGGCTATCTCTTGAAATTGCAGTAGACGAATAGATCTGTTAGATATATATTCGGTGGTGTGAATAGCGGTCGAGGTGGTTATTCGTTATCACAGTAATTTTGTTGATCCTATTCGGTTTTATGATGGTTTCTTAATATAAAATCAATTATTGCGATCGATCAATCGCAATTACATAGTTGTTCTGTTACTCATACATTCTTTAGATAGTCCCTTTACATGAGATTTGTAAATTAAAAGTTTTAAAACACGGAAATTATAGTTGAAATACGTAATTTGCTTTATACCGCACGCAGCAATGCATTACCGTAAACAGATTCTGGACGTGAATTTAATTAAATTAATTTAAACCCATAATGCGTGAACCAAGCGTGCGACCATGCATAACGTTATCGGTGAGGCCAATATGTAACGACATCAAGATGCCATCTCTGGGTTATTGACACGAGCGATACAACACATGTACCTCTATCGAGAATACATTAGCGTTGATAAAATGTACTGTCGTATCGTATCTATTGTAT